CGCTTCATTTTTCTCCTCTCATGCTTACATTTCATCTGCTCACATTTGCCCCACTGCAGGATCTGCAGAAAGATAAATGTTTAAGAAACACAACAGGAAGATTCATTATTAATTTTCTGGCTCTGCCCTGCTGCCTGCTGTTGTTGCCACATTTGATACTTGAGTTACCAGATATGATGACACTTTGGGGACGATGGCAGGCGAGCAACAGACTCTTCGTTTTCCCTCATGTTTCATTCGCTTTGATGTCACGACGGCAGCGTGAATTATTCAGCCACAAGCTGAATGTGATAAAGTGGGACAGTGTTGTGGAAGAAAATCACGTATACAAGACGTACAACAATGTTTTGGGTTTGATGATGTCAGAATAGTGTTTTGATTAATATTGCCAATAATGTGTAAGGCTGACGTAGCTGGAAGATTGTTTTTTTTTTACATAGCTTGAGTGCAGAAATATGCTCACTGTGTTCTTAGAGGATAATACCAACCAATGTGACTAATCAGATTTGCAATCAACAAACCATCAAGAAATATTCAATCAATCATGCCCAGCTCAACAAAAGTGAAGAACAATAACCGGGGCAGTTGGAAATAAACAGCTATATTTCCAAAGGAAGGTTTTTTTTACCTGCAGTCATCATTCAGTCTGACACCCTCAGCAGACGGAGAGACTGATTATTAAATTCTGCAGAGATGGCAAAGTTTGTCCGCATCTCCATCTAGCGTCTTCAGACGGTAAATCTCATCCCTCGTCTTCGCTTGCTTTGAAACTAGGGCAGTGGAGCACTCAGAGTGATGCCCTGAGACAGAGCAGGAAGCATCAAACTTGCAGATTTATAATGGTTGCCGCATAAATGCTCGTGCGTAGTTCACAGAGAGCGCGTCGCAACACAAGCTCTCTGACACAGACACTGGACCTGAGGGGTTTTCCACCAAACATCTGGAGCAGCCTGTGCCTCCACTCCTCTGCTCCTTAATGAGGCACAGAGATGATTATTAGTGGATGTTTTAGGGGGGAAAACGGAGGGAGGGGAGGGGACAGAAATTAAAGTGGCATTAGAGGATTGTTTGCTGTTCTCTCGGAGAATGAGGAGCACCTCCAGTGCTTTAGATCTGAAGAAAAATATCACACTCTTAATAAACTTCCACTACTTCACATCACAGACACATTTTAAAGAAACAGGGATGAGGTTTGGGGAAATGAAAAAAAAAAAAAAAAGAGGTCACAAGTGGTATGTCCTAGATCTGAGTCCCAGCGGTGAGAGAGGAACCGTTTATTGAAAGTTTTGAAACTCTCCCAACTAAAACCATTTTTCTTCTTGTAAACATACGATGCATTTAGTCCAAGCTGAGTGCAGGGTCTTGCGTAATGATCTAATTAAAGGATGTAATATTTTCAGTCTTACGCTGCTCTCCTGATGAGGCAGGTGTGAGATAACGCTGAGTGCTGTCGATGATAGCATCTCACATTAGGCAGACTGCAGCATCATGAGTTTTATGGTGTGCTTGCTCTCATTCTTTTGCCCTGGAGAGAGTTTATAGGAACACACACCTGCCTGGGATGGCTGTGGAGATGACCTGATGATGGTGATGATGATGATGATGATGATGATAAAAAGATGATGCTCTGCATGTAAGCTGTTTTGATTGTAAACGATATATCTGAGCTAAAGCTGTTGTTCTTTTTTGTCCTCTTTTTAAAAAAATTGTTGGTGAAAAATCCAACAAAACAACATTTAGACGATAACATAGTGTTTAAAAGTGACAAATGCAATTCGTTAACACCTTCACTCACTTGTCTTAATCCTGATTTCACTTCTCCACCTCTGACACATTAAAAAGAGTCCAACAATTGCAAGCATTGTACCAACTGTCGTGATAGACAGTTTAAAAAAACAGGATCGAAATTGATGCAACAGAACCAGATGTTCTATTTTTCCACACATTCTTCTTTCTTGTTAAAAACTG